CGTTGCAGCTTACCCTCCAGGGCTTCGAAGATCGTCTGCGCCATCTCGGAGCCGCCGCCGCCGCCGCCACGGTAGCCGAAGAGGGGCTACGCGAGCATTGTGGGAGACGCGGCGGCGGCGGCGGCGGGGTCGGGGCCACCAGGGGGCGCCCGTGATCAGCCGCCGAGCCCCCCGATCCGGAAACCCAGCCGCGGCTCGCGGGACCCCCAGCATCCTTGGGCTCCCCTGGCCCCGCCTCAGTGACCCAGTAACCGGTACATGTAGGCGCCCATCCCCGCCTCACCTAGACCGCCCAACTTCTGCAACTCCGATCCCATCCCGCCGCACACAGGACGTCCCAACCCTATTATCTGGACCTTCATCCCCTCTTCACAGGACCTGACTCCCCCATCCCCCACTGCACGTGAGACTCCCAATTCTGCAATCCCAATCGCACCTCACACAGTATCCCCCAACTTTGCAACACCGACCCCATTCCCATCTTACCTGGACTGCCCAACTCTGTCACAAGGACCCCCAGCTCCACCTTACACAGGACCTCCCCCAACTGTGCAACACTGATTCCCATCCCTGTCATGGGCTCCCCCTCCCCCCTCCCGTAATGACCCTCATATTCTCCTCCTCCACCTGTCTCTCCTCATGTGACTCCCATTTCTGCCTCCTGTTAATTTCCCATCCTCATCTCTCAGGGATTCCCCAACTCCTGTTACTTAAACCCTCATTTCCACCTTTTAGGGACCTCTATTTCCTCTTTGCACAGACCTCCCATCCCTGCCTGTCTGTGACCCCATTTCTGTTACATGAACCCCCACTACCCTCCCCAGTGACCCCATCCCAGCCTCACAGAGACCTCATTTAAGTCTCACAGGGATCCTCCTGTGGCTTACTGAGAGCACCCATCACACTCAGACTCCTCTCATCTTCATTCATCTCCCATCGGCTACTTACTAAAGGCCTACCAGGTCTTATAATAGCTCTAGGAATGCAGTGGTCCCTTCCCATGGACTTGAGGGTAGAGGGAGCAGATAGACATTAATCTTAAAAATTCATTATAATGTGTGGTAAGTAGTTTCAAAGAAGTACACATGAAGGACAAGGAAGAGTTGGGAGATTGTGAGGGGAGAACCAGGGAAGTGCCATCAGTCATGGATCTCTCCCATGATCATGGCTATATCATCACACAACTGGACTGTCATGGATTTAACTCTAAATGTTCTCATTGTTTTTACTTAAATACCCATTTTAACCTCATCCAAAGCAATGCTCACAAAAGTCACGGTTTTGATTTTCCTATATTCATTAAATAAATATGAAACTCCTAAGTTAAAATATATATATTTGTTCAAAGGAGAAAGAAGGAAACCAAAGAGTCAAAGAAGAAAGTAGTCTACAGGACAAATAATCTACACGAACCACAGCCTCATCTACCCAGAGACCAGAAGAACTAGATGGTGCCCAGGTACCACTATGGACCGTTCTAATCAGGGCCACAATAAATGGACCCTAATGGAATGGGAGAAAAATATGGAACAGAACCTCAAATTCCTAAAAAATAAAAAACCAAAACAGACATAGATTAGTTGAGACTGGAGGACTCCCCTGGACTATTGCCCTGAGATACTCTTCAAACCTTGAACCAAAACTAACCGCTGAGGTCACCTTCTAGCTAAATAACAAGTTGGCTCAAAAAATAATATCACCCATAAGTACTATTCTCCTTTAAAAAAATCACTATGAGACTAAATGGTCAACAATAAAACAAAGATGAGAATGTAAGGAGTCAGGGAAACCAGATTAATGGAAATGGAACAACCAGAAGGGAAATTGTGAGAATGTTCACATATTGTAAAAAATGTAACCAATGTCACTGAACAGCTTGCATAGAAATTACCGGATGGGAATTGAAACTGCTGTGTAAACATTCACCGAAAACACAAGAAAATATTAAAAAACAAAAAAAAATCCAATAAACTAGAAATAGTAAGGTTCTTCCTTGACATGATAAAGATCATGTATGAAAACCCCACAGCTAACATCATAAGCAAAGGTGAAAATTGAAAGCTTTCTCCCTAAGATTAGCAGGAAGAAACAGATAATCACCTTCAGCACTACTATTCAACATTGTACTGGAATTCTGGCCATGACAATTATGAACGAAAAATAAAAGGCATCCAAATTGGAAAGGAAATATATATACTCACTGCCATCGGGTCGACTCCAACTCATAGTGACCCTATAGGACAGAGTAGAACTGCCCCACAGGGTTTCCAAGGCTGTAAATCTTTATGGAAACATTGCCACATCTTTCTCCCACGGAGTAGCTGGTGGGTTCGAACCACAGACCTTTTGGTTAGCAGCTGAGTACTTAACCACTGCACCACCAGGGCTCCATATATATATATATATATATATATATATATATGTATGTGTATATAAATGAATGTATATATATATATCTGTTCAAAGCTCATCTCCTTGTGGAACACTGCCAGCCACTGTTCATGATAAGTGGCCTCACAGGCTCTCCACCTACACGCTGCTGGAGGCCCATTCCTATCAGCAAACTGCCCCAAACACCCCTCCTTCTCCACCACCACCACCCCCTCTTCTCTTTTCTTCCCCTTTGCACAGTAAAGCTTGAGCAAATGTCCCACACAGAGCACCTACTCTTCTCTCAAACTCCATGCCCCTTTTTCCTAGGAACCTCAGAGACCAGGGCCCATCTCCAGCCCTGAACACTCCTCCCCACTGCCTCCCTGGCAAAAGGCCCAAGTTCCCCTCCTCCTTGTCCTTCCTTTAATGTCCCCACTGATCCAATGGCCTCAGATTCTCATCATCTCTCACCTGCCAGAGCCCCTCAACATAACTTCTTTTTTTATCAAGCAAGATGTTAATAGATTTATGTTCATTAATTAATTAAAAAAGTATTTATCAAGCACCTACCGTGTGCCAGACAGTGTTCTAGGTGCTGCAGACACAGCCAAAAAGACAAAAATCCTTGCCTTCATGGAGTTCATAGTCCAGCAGGGGAGATGGGCTGTAAACAAGAAAAAAAAAAAGAGAGAGAAAACGTTCCATGATTTTAAATAAGAGAGGAATGGCAGAGGGAGATGAGAATGGAGAGATGGGCAGGGCTTTGTAGGGTACAGTGAAGGTTTGGGTTTTATTCTGGGGGTGATGGGAGGCATTGGTCAACTTTAAAAGATTCTGTCAACACCCGGCCTTGGCAGCTTTTCATGCATTTCCATACATCCAGGTTGTCTTAGTCATCTACTGCTGCTATAACAGAAATACCACAAGTGGATGGCTTTAACAAAGAGAAGTTTATTTCCTCATAGTAAAGTAGGCTAAAGGTCCAAATTCAGGGCACCAGCTCCAGGGGAAGGCTCTTGCTCTCTCTGTCAGCCTTCTTCTCATCAGTGTTCCCCCAGACTAGGAGCTTCTTCACAAAGGGACCCCTGGTCGAAAGGACATGCTCTGCTCCTGGCGCTGTTTTCTTGATGGTATGAGGTCCCCCTGTCTCTCTGCTCACTTCTCTCTTTTATATCTCAAGAGATTGCATCAGGACACAATCCAATCTTGTAGATTGAGTCCTGCCTTACTAACATAACTGCTGCCCATCCTCCCTCATTAACTTCATAGAGGCAGGATTTACAACATATAGGAAAATCACACAATACGAGGAATCATGGCCCAGCCAAACTGATACACACATTTTTGAGGGGACATAATTCAGTCCATAACACAGGTACACACATAGTTAATTTTCACCTGCTCTCCAGGCCTTTGCACACACTATTCCCTCTTCCTGCTGTTCTCCCACCCTCATCTAAACAATACGTAGACAGAAAGCTTGCCTGCTTGCCTCCTCTGGGAAGCTGTCCCTAATCTCCGATAGCAGAAGCTATTCCTCCCTCAAAGCTCTATGCTCTTACCGTACCTGATACCACTCCTATGAAGTGATATTCTTCAGCCATTGGCAGTTTCCCTTTTACCATCCCTTGAAACGGGGATCCCTCTGAGTGAAGAGGGGCTTTGTCCACTCAGGATAGACCTCAGAGCCTGGCAACCTGGGAAATGCCTGTTGATTGACTGCCTCACTGATGGAACATCTGAAATAGCGTTCAGGGACGTAGAGCCCCACTTTCAGCAAGCTTCCCAGTCAGGCTGCCTCCTGCTCCACACTTTCAGCTCCTCACCTCCATCTCTTCCTCCACCGAAATCCATCAATCATATGTCCCGTTCCCTCAGGACCAGCTGGTTGACACTCAGCCAAAACTAATCACAGCTTAGAGACTCCTGGGATAGGTAATGTAGTAATTCCAAGAGTGAAGCCAAACAGAGAGGAGGACAAGTTTGGGAAACTTCCAGTGTCACCCTCCACAACGAGTGTTCTAGCTACCCAGAAAAGATAACTTCTCTGTAGAGAGGGAAGAATCATGAGCAGCTTTAACTAGACTCATGACTGCAAGGGGAAGAAAGTAAGGACACACAAAGCAAAGGTAGGCCCCAGCACCTTACTAGGTTTGTTGGTACTGGTAGAAGGCAGCAAAGCATGGTGGTTAAGATCAGAGACTCTGGAGCCAGAGAGCCTGGATTCGAATCCTGCCTCCATCAGTTATTAGCTATATCACCTTGAGCAAGTTATTTTGCTTTTCTGTGCCTCAGTTTCTCATTGGTTAAATATGCATGGTAACAGTGCCTACCTCACAGGGATGATACGAGAATGAAATGGTTAAAAAAGCACTTAGGAAACAATCTCAGGCATACAGTAAGTATTGTGAAAGTGCCCGTTAAATAAATAAATTGGCTTTCTCTGGGCAAAGATAAATTAAAACATCCTGCCCTGATGAAATTAGAGTTACATAAAATTTAAAAGTGTCACCAGGCATGGTGCCCGGCTACCATTACTAAATATTTTGATCAAAGATTCTATAGAAGAATACTGACCAAAAGGGGGGAAATGCAGAACAGAATGTGAAATCCTCATAGACTCCAGACTTTCTAGAGCCATGGATGCTGGATGAACCCATGCGACTATTGCCCTGAGATAATCTTTAAACCTTAAACCAAAAATATCCTCCGAAGTCTTCTTAAAAACAAACAATAGTTTAGCTTAACTAGTAGAAAATGTCTGCCTTGAGCATTATGCTCTTTTAAGAACTATCTATATGGTATTAAATTGACAACAGCAACTCAAAAGATTAGACAGGACCCTTAGGGCAGTGAATTTGTGTTAATGAGGGAGAAACTACTCAGAAAAGGAGGGTGAGAATGGTTGCACAACTTGAAGAATGTAATCAACGTGACTGAATTGTACATGTAGAAACTATTGAATTGCTGTATGTTTTGCTGTGTATATTCTCAACAACAAAATAAATAAAATTAAAAAAAAAAGTGTCACCAGGCAATGACAAGCGTTCTTACTGTGACAACCCCTTACCCTTAAGGAGCCCTGCTGGCGCGATGGTTAAGCGCTCAGCTGCTAAGCAAAAGGTGGGCGGTTCTAACCCACAAGCTGCTCCTCAGGAGAAAAGATCTGGTGATCTGCTCCCTTCAAGATTACAGCCTAGGAAACCCTCTGGGGCAGTTCTACTCTATCATATAGAGTCAATATGAGTCGGAATTGACTAGGGGGCACACAACAAGAAGAAGTGAGGGGGCAAGTGGTGGGACGTGAGGTTAGAGAGAGAGAAGCAGGAGCCAGATCACTCAGGGTCTTCTTTTGCGGACCTCGGGGAGGAGTTTCGATTTTAATTGGAAGATCGCTAAAATCACTGTTACCCAATCAGAGCTGTCAAACGTAAAGATGAGGCCCGGCTCCCCCTGGTGTCACCACCCTATTCCAACTCCAGGGAAGGCGGCATCTCTTCGATGAAATCTCTTTCAAAACCCACGGTGACACACCTTCCTCGAAGCCCACGGATGAAGAGAGCACGCCCCAAAGGAAAATGCCCTCTAATTGGACAAATCCAGACTTGTAGCTCTAAACTGCCTGAGGCCGAGTGAGGCAGAGCGCTCTGTGATTGGTTTACAAACTCTCCCTTCTTTTCCAGTCTTACAGACATCCCGGGGAATGTGGGCGTCCCATTCCCTTGTGTGACCCACGTACTCTGTGATTGGCTCTCCCCGGATACAAGAAGCGGCCACAGCCTATGGGTGCAGCAACGTGACGGGGCGGTCCAGACGCTGTGGGCGGTGCAGCCGGGACCCTAGGCAGTCTGTGCGTGTTCCCATTCGTGCTGCTTACCCCGGCGCTGTCCGCTCGATGGGTGTCCCACCGCAGCTGCGGGCCCTGCTCCTGGCTGTCAACACATTGCTGCGCAAGCGCCGCTACCACACTGCTTTGGCAGTGCTCAAGGGCTTCCGGAACGGGGCCGTGTGAGTGGGGCTGTCGAGCCGATCCCAGCCGGGGCTGAGGGACGGGTCTGGCGCGGGTCGGAGGTGCGGGTTCGAGGCCCGGCGCTGCCGCGCTGTGTGTCCTTGAGCAGCCCTAGTGTGTCTCTAGGTCTCAATGTCCACCATCTGCGCAGTGGACGCTGGATTTTGGGTTCTGAGCGCCTTCCCAGCTCTGAGCTGGCGCTCCCACTGCACTGCTTCTGGGATCCTCCGTGCTCTGCAACCTGTCCCCCTTGCGTTGGCCCCTCCTCTGCTAGTCCCTCTTTTCCCCTATTTGGGCCCAATTCCCTCCCCCTCCACCCTCACACCCCCTCCCCCCCGCCTCTCTGTGTGCCCTTGTGTCTGTCTGGCCTCAGTGGCCCCATCTGCACACTCGGAATCTGGACTCTGGCCTCTGGCAGGCAGGTGGGCCCTCCTACCTATGCCTCCCCCATTTATCTGCTGCCGTGGGCTCACATCCTGTTTCTCAGTCCTGGTCTAAGTTTCTGTCTGGCTCAGGGACTCCTGGGGTGTGAGTCTCAGGAATGACAATGGATGTAAAAGAAACTGCAAATATTTGCTTAGTAGATTGATGCTGACCTGGCCATCAGTCCTGGATAAGGTCTTGGAGGTCATTTTACCTAACCACTGACCCCTGAGGGCAGAAGTTCCTCAGAGAGCATTCTGGGCAGGTAGACGCCTGGCTAGTGGTTGGAGGAAGCTCTCCTCCTTGAAACCTCATGCATAACAGCTGCCATTTATTGAGGAGCTACTGTGTGCCTGGCACTGGGGACACAGCAGAGAATAGACTTGACAGTCTAGTGGCAGCCTGGCATGGTGGAGAGGTTGTGGACTCTGGAGCCACACTACCTTGATTTGAATTCTGGTGCCCACACTTACCTGTGTGATCTTGGGCAAGTCGCTTAACCTCTCTGAGCCCCAATTTCTATGAAATGAGGATAATAGTACTTATACTATCAAAGGATTGAGTCAATGTGTACAAAATGCTTAGCACAGCTCCTAGTCTATAATTGTTTTTAGTTGTCGTGTAGTCAGCTCCAGCTCTTGTTGACCTTATGTATAACAGAACAAAATGTTGCCCAGTCCCGCACCATCTTCATGATTGTTGATATGTTTGAGTCCATTGTTGTGGCTGTTGTGTCACGCACCATATAGCTGTTGGCTGTTGCTATTATTGTTTTGTCCAAATGGATGTCTGCCTGGCTCACTCCCTCACCTTTTTCAAGCCTCTGCTCAAGTGTCACCTCCTGAGTGAGGTCATCCCTGAGCTCCCCACCTCCCTGCCTGTTTTATTTTTCTCCATAGTATTTACTCACTTGTATATCTTGTTTATAGTCCATCTCTCACTAGGATGTGAGCTCCAAGAGGACAGAAATTTTTATCTGCTTTGTTCCTTGGTTTATTCCTGCCACGCACTACATAGTAGGCCCTCAATAAATATTTACTGAATGAATGAACAAGGCTGCAAGATAGATATTGCCATTATCCCCATTTTCCAGATGGGAAGACTGAGGCTTAAAGAGGTAAACTCATTGCCCATTGTCACATTACTTGGTGTTAGAGTCAGGATACAAAACCAGGTATGCCGGACCACAGTGCCAGGCTCTTGGCTTCCATGGGCACCCAGAGTCATGTAGACGCTGGTTCCTGCTGCTGCTTGCCCGGTCATATCAGCCATACCTTGGTGTGACCAGGGTGTGATGGTTCCTGGGATAACATCAGTGACCCCTTTGCCAAGACATTCTCAGGACAAAGCAGGAGTGAGTAGGAGTCATACAAGCCCCTGGTGGCAGCAAGCATTACCCAGTGCCTTGTACACCTGCCCCCACACCTGTGACCTCAAGGGACTTTCCCAACCAGGGCAGGCACTGGCTAGGATCAAGTCCTAGGTTCCAAGTTTTCTTCTTTAATAGCTGGGTGATCCTGGTCAAATCCCTTCATCTGTTTCCTCCCCTGTAAAATGGAAGCAATAAGTGCTACTATACAGGGGTGCCCTAAGGCAGTGATCACATTACTGGTTAGTGATAAGATGCTGTCTCCACCTGCAAGGACCTCAAGTCCAAGGGAGAGACTGACAGTTAAGCTCCCATGGCAGTGTCAGGTGATCAGGGAAAGTATTATCCAGGTGGTGATGGTGATATTTTGAAGGCTGAATTGGAATTTGCCAGAGGGAAAAGGGCATCCCAGGACAGCTGAGATGTTAGAGTTTTTTAAAATTTAACTCACTTTGATGTCCCACCCTAAATATTTCACTATGCATCTCTCAGAAATAAGAACATTTTCCTATATGGCCATATTATCATGATCACACTTAATAAATTAATAATAATCCTGTAATATTGACTATTGTGTAGTTTTCCCTAAAATGCCTTCTACAGCTCTTTTGTCCAGATCAGGGTTTCCGCCAGGACATCACGTTGCACCTGCCATTATGTCCTTTAAGTCCTTTTTAATCCAGGGCACCCCTTTTATTCAGGACACAGAGTCATCCTGTGGGAGAGTCACCGATGGTGTTTGGGAAGGGTGGCTGGTAGATATGCGGAGCTGGGAGCGCTGTCTAGCTTGAGTCTGGGGTATAAGGAAGGACACTTTTAGCCTTGGTCAGCTGGAGGGAGGCTGAGAGCTTGTTTGTTCAGGAGAAAGAAACATGGCTTTGGAGGAAGGGAAGAAGAGCTTGCTGGGGCCAGGCTGGGGACCCTGGCTGTCCTGTCCTACCCTGATAAGACAGGGAGAAGACAGACAGTTCAACCTGGCGTCTGCAACAGTAAAACCGGCTTCAAATTGTTAACATGCTTAATGGCTCTAATTTGGTTTTTTAAACGTTAGATAACAGATTCACAAAAGGCACAAAAAGTTAATAAAAAGTCCTGCCCCCCCCTTCCCTTTGTCACCCATTCCCCCAAGGCGGCCCCTCTGTCCAGTCTCTGTGTCTCTACATGTTCAAACAAATACATATATTCTCCCCGACACCTCTAAAAAAGTTGTTATTTTGAGCTTATTTTAGGTTTATAGAAGACTCTCCCCTTTTAAATGATTGTTACCCTGTTGCACACACTGTCATGCACCTTGCTTCTGTCATCTAATAGATCAAAGCCTCTCCATGTCAGTGTACCCAGAGCCACCTCTTTCTTTTTACAACTGCATAGTATCCACTGAATGGCAGAACCACTACTTATGTCCCCAGTAGCCCCCTGGTGATGGACACAGGCTTGCTGTTACAAACAGCTGTGGTGAACATTCACATCTATTTGGATGACGATATTGTTCAAGTGGTTGTGGTTTATGACTGTTGTCTCAAGGAGGCTCTCAACTTTTTTTTTTTTTAATTATTAAATAATTTATTGTGTTTTGGGTGAAAGTTTACACAACAAATTAGGTTCCCATTAAACAATTTTTATACAAATTGTTCTGTGACATTGGTTACAACTTTCACCATGTGTTGGCATTCTCATTATGTCCGTTCTGATGTTGTTTCTATTGCTCTAGCTTCCCTTCACCTCCTTACCTTCTCATTTTTGCCTTTGGGTAACTGTTGACGATTTGGTCTTGAATAGTTGATTGCTTAAGGGAGCACATTACTCAGTGATGTTGTTTATTTCATAAGCCAATCTATTATTTGGCTGAAAGGTGACCTTCAGGATAGCTTCAGTTCCAAGTTCAGACGGTGTCTTAGGGTGATAGTCTCAGGGGTTCCTCTAGTCTCTATCAATCCAGTAAGTCTGGCTGTTTTTAGGAATTTGAATTTTGTTCTGCATTTCTTGGCTGCCAAAGATTTTTAGATCCTGGTAAGACCAGGGCATTGGGTTGTTGTTAGGTGCCGTTGAGTCGATTTTGACTCATAGCGACCCCATGTGACAGAATAAAACTGCCCCGTAGGGTTTCCTAGGCTATAATCTTTACAGGAACAGATCTCCAGGTCTTTCTGCCATGAAGCTGCTGGGTGGATTCGAACCACCAACCTTTCAGTTAACAGCCAAGCTCTTAACCGTTGCCACCAGGGTGCTTTGGGCCTTGGGTAGGGGACAATAAAAAAGAATAAGAAAGAAAGAGATACTAATATTGATTGAGGTAGGAACTTTCACATGTGCTATATTGTTAACTGCCAGAAACAACTCTGAAATGGAGAATACTTTTAATTGATGGGAGAAGGGAGGCTCACAGAGGTTAAGTGATTTGTCCACGTTCACACAGCAAAACATGGCAGGGCTTTGGTGTCAAATCTCATCTTCTTTCCAGTACCCACTTAAGTATAGTTAAAACAATGAAGGTGAATGTGGTCTTGTCTACATAATCTCCAGATGTTCCAATGAGGAGGTCAGGGACAAGAGGTTTTAACCTTAAAAAGAGGCAATTATTTAAGTTTTTATTTCAGTTTGTTTTAATTTTAAAAGCAATGCTTAATCACTTTAGCAGTACAGAAAAGTTAAAAATCAGACAAAAATAAATTCCCATATCACTCCAGCCCTGGGGACATTAGTTATAACACTAGCATATTTCCTTCCAGCCTTCTTTTTTTAAATGCATTTTCACAAAGTTGAGATTATCCTGTATATAATAATTGGAAAGAGGTACATTTTGAACAGGTAGAAGGAAGTACAATGTTACTTAACAACCGTTTTAGGGAATTTGTTAACTTTAAGATGGGCCAGGCTAAAGATAGAACCTTCTAGAAATAACCTTCCATCAAGGGTAATAAAGGGCTGTTCTAGAATCAGTCAGCCAGCAATCATTTATTGAGCATGGACTGTATATCAAGTCCCATGCGAGGTGCTGGGGACTCTGAAGAGAACAAGGCAGACACAGTCCCTGTCCCCCAGAGCCCACAGTCCAGGGGAGGAGAGAGATAATTGCAACAGAATACATAATTATGAATGACTGGGTCATTAAAATGGAGGTGAAAAGTGCTGCAGAGAAGTTTGGGCATCTGCGGCAACGAAAACACGGCCCTAACCTAGGCTAGAGGTTCAGTGAAGCCTTGCCAGAGGAACCGGCTGAGACTGGAAGGTTAAGGAAGAGGTGGCCTGATGAGGAGGGGGAGGACTGCTCCAGGCTGAGGAGTATGAGGAGCAGGCCAAGGAGGCAGAGAAGAGCAAGAGGTATGTCAGAGCACCTCCTGGAGGGCCAATGTGGCTGGAGCCAGAGAAGAGGGCATGAGGCCAGGTAGGGGAGGGGAGACAGGCCAAGTCCTGCTGGGCTCTCATGGCTGAGGGGAGGAGTCTGGATTTTATTCCAGGAGTAGTGAGAAGTCATTGGAGGCTTTTACGCTGGGAGTGGTGTGATCTGCTTTATGTTTTTAAAACACGAGTTTGGCTTCAGTGGGAAAGGCAGGATGGTGCCCAGGAAGCGACTCCACACAGCCAGTTGAGTGGGCATGGTGGAGGCCTTTTATATATATCACCTTCTCCTGTCGAAATGACAGCCAGCCCTCCGAGGTCTAACATCCTGTTTTACAGTTGGGGAAATTGAGGCTTGGGGAAGTTAAATGACAGGCCTGAGGCCACAGTACCACAAAATGTCAGAGCTGGGATTTGAACCCAGATCTAGCTCAAGAACCAGCATTATTTCCCCTCCAAAGTGATGCCAGGACTAGGGATAGAGAGAGGGGATGAGGGGTCGAAGAAAGCCCAGAAAAAAATTGTGATGCAGTAGTAACTGTTTTCTTCTCTTTCTGCAGCTATGGAGCCAAAATCCGGGCCCCGCATGCACTAGTTATGACCTTTCTCTTCCGGAGTGGCAGGTACCCACCCCGCTCTGAGCACCCCTCTAACTGGGAGAGAATGTGGTCAGCCCTCAGTGCCAGGACGATTGCAGTGGCTTCCTAGCTGGGTCTAGCCTGTCCCCCCAACACACACACACACACACACACACACACACGCCTCCTAAAGTACAACTCTCATCCTATTATCCCTGCTCAGAAATGCCCACAGTCTTCAAAAGAAGCCCACTTTCAGGCCTGGCATTCAGGGCCCTCTGGCCTCAGCTGTATCCTCACACTACTCCCCTACATCCACCCTGGGGTGCACACAGGACTCACTGCCCTTCCATGCACATGCCACATGTGATTCCACTCTATACTTGCTCATGCATTACCCCCCGCTAGGAATGCCCCTTCCTCTCCCACCCCACCTTTATTTCCTCCTGGCAACCCCCACCTATCCTCAGAGGATCACCTCCTCTGGGAAGCTGTCCCTGACTGCCCCTCCCTTGTTCAAGCTTCCTGGCCTTCCTCTCATCTCCCATAACTCTCCCCTCATGGCAGTTCCCAGAAACCTCCTTGTGGTCTTATGTATGTTGCCTCCTCTGGCGCTTATAGGACTTACACATGAACAGCCTATTGGCCAATTCCAGTTTGCAAGACTTTCTCTTTTGTATTTTTATTTATTTCTTTATTTTTGTTTGCTTTGGGGGTTTTTTGCCCTCTGGTTTTTAAAAAATTCAGCTCATTCATTTACTCAGCAAATATTTATTGGGCATCTGCTATGTGCCATTTGCTATTCTGGGTGCTGGGGATACAGCAGTGAACAAAAGAAACAATGACCCTCACCCTCATACAGCTTATAGTCTAGCAGGGGGCAGCAGAAAATAAATAATAAATAGGAAAGTATATGAAATGTTAGAAGGTGATACGGGCTATAGGGAAGAAACATTAGAGCAGGGAAAGGGGATCAGGAGTGCTGGAGGGGGTAGGTCGCAGAATTAAATTGGGAAGCCCTCAGTGAGAAAGAGACATTCTAGTAAAGACTTGAAGGAGTTGAAAGAGCTGTCCAAGTGATACAGGGGAAAGAATGTTCCAGGCTGAGGGAACAGCCAGTGCAAAGACCCTGAGGTAGGATTGTGCCTGGTAAGTTTGAGGAAGCTGGAACAGAGGGACTGAGGGGAAGAAAAAGAGAGGAAGGTCACAGGGGTAACTCAAGCCAGTCCTGTCCAGCTTTAGATCATGGTGAAGAGTTTGGCTTTTCCTTTTAAGTGAAACAGGAAATTGTTACAAGATCTTGAGCAAGGAAGTGCCATTATCTGACTGACGTTTTCATAGTTTAAGGGTTGAGAGTTTGCTGCCATGTTAAGAACAGAGGGGGTGGGCACAAGGGCAGAAGTAGGTGTAAATTAGGAGTTGGCAGTAATCCAGGTGATCAGTGATCTTGGTCGTGGCAGTGGAGGTGAGGAGAAGTGGTCAGATTCTCGAAACATTTTGAAAGTGGAATTAGTGCCAACTTTAAAAAATGGAGCTATTTCACATGAAGTCTAGCTTTCCTGCCTTAGAACTGGCAATACTGGGCCTATGTTCCCTCAGGGCGAGCACCATCTAACTCCTGTCCCCACTCAACTGGCAGATTGCCATAGGTTCCACCAGACCCACCTTGCTCATCTGGTCCTCAGGGCATTGGTATTTGCCATCCTTGAACTGATCTCCAGAGTACATGCTGGCCCCATTTCTGCATCCTCCTTGCTGCCCCTGTGGAATTTTCAAAAGATAGAGTGAATCACGTCACCCTCCCCTACTCAAATTTTCACTTTTCTCAGGATAAAGCCAAGACTCAGTATGGACCATAAAGTCCTGTGGGTCTAGCCCTGCCACCTCTCCCCCATATCCTTCACCCACAGTCTCTACTGTGATCACCATGGCCTCTCTCAGTTCCTTCAGGTTCCACGCTCTGTCCCTCCTCAGGACCTCTGCCTGGGATGCACTTCTACCTCCTCGTGACCTCATTGACTCCTCATTCTTCAAATCCTAGGACCATCTTTTGTCAAGGTCAAAGTTTGAGCCTTTATTTTGTGGTTATTTATTTCATGCAGTTAAGAGCTCGGCTCCTAGCCAAAAGGTTGGCGGTTCAAACCCACCCAGCAGCTCTATGGGAGAAAAACCTGGCGATCTGCTCCTGTAAAGATTACAGCCTAGAAAACCCTGTGGTGCAGTTCTACTCTGTCACATGGGATCGCTATGAGTTGGAAGTGACTCGATGGCACCCAACAACAACAGCTCTCCCGCTAGTTCATAAGCCCATGACGGGCAGCAAGACAACTTGGTTTTTTTTTTGAATTGTATCCCCAGACCCAGTACGTAGTAGACACTCATTCACTCACTCACTCATTTCTTCACATGTCTACTCAAAAAATATTTATTGAGCACCTACTATGTGTCAGGCCCTGTTTTGGGCCCTGAGGATGAAAAAGCCAGATCTCAGGGAACTTCCACTGGGGGCATAGGTAGAGGTTGGAGGAGATAGTAAACAAGCCTATAGTTGTCAGGTGGTACTGAGAACTATGAAGGAGAAGAAAAGCAGGGGATGGCATGTGATGGGCATTCTTTTATGTACCATGGTCAGGGAAAGCCTCTTTGAGGAGGCGGCATTGAGTCAAGGCCTGAATCAATTGAGGAGCGGCCTTGAGGATGGTGGAGCGGGGAGGCCTGGGGCTGAGTGATCAAAGGCCTGTGGGCTCCTGGCCTGGTTCAGCTTTGCCTGCCCAATGGGTGAATGCCCTTGGAACGGCTGGACCTGTGCTAATGGGAAATCCTTGCATTGTGCAGCCTCCAGGACAAGCTGTGGGCCATCCTTCAGAGCACGTACACGCACTCCCGGAACCTGGCCTACTTCGTGTTCACCTACAAGGGGCTCTGTGCCCTGCAGTCCCATGTGCAGGGTAAAACCTACCAGGTACACTCATTCCTGGCTGCCTTTATCGGGGGCTTCCTGATATTTGGAGACTACAACAACATCAACAGTCAGGTAAAGAGCCTCCCTGGGGATGACGGGCAGGTGAAGAGGATGAACTCTTGGCTCCGTTCCATCTCTAAGGGTCTGTGACTCACCAGTCCCTGTGTGACCTTGGGAAGGTTACTTCTTCCCTCAGTTTCCCTGTCTGTAAACCAAGCAGCTTGTTTGAATCCCATGGTTCCCCAAATCAATGTGTCTGCCGCTCTCTGGGGCAGAGATACTTTTGTTAAACCATTCTGCAATGCGATGAGAGAAAGAAAAAAACCAAAAACCAAAAAAATGACCCTGGAGTAAGATTTCATAAAAGAAAACTTAACTACCCTCAGAGAATTATCTCTTATTCTGTGACCTATCCTTCCCCCTTTTTCGAGGTTAAAATTCCCTTTTTTATGAAGCTAAATACTAGTTGTCTTTGTTTTGTTTTTGTTTTTAATGATAACTTTTGAATGAAAAGTTATCAGCCCCCTTTATTTGCCTCCCTCAAATTTCTTAAATATTCTTAAGTTCTAGAAATGAGACACATTGACCAAAAGGTATTGCAGACTAACACCTCCTGTATAACTGGCGCATTTCTAGGTGTTTGAGATGCATCGTGATAAAATTGAAAAATAAATAGAAAAGAACGTCCGCTGTGCCACCCTCATCTCTCAAGCTCACTATCCAGGGGAGTCACTGTTCACCGTATCTTGTGTAACCTTTCAGAAATGGTCTGTGCTTATACTAGTATGCATATCAGAGGTTTCCACCAATAAGATCATACTATACTTTTTTTTCCCACATAGCAATGTATTTTGGAGCCCTTTTTCTATCAATTCTTCATCCTTTTTTTTTGGTAGTGAAAATATGTGTAACAAAACATACACCATCTCAAAAATTTCTACATGTACCGTTCAGTAACATTGATTACACTTTTCAAGCTGTGCACCCATTCTCGTGATCCTTTTCCAAATCATTTTACTGCCATTGCTAGTAACATAAACTCAGTACGTCTGAAGCAAAAACTTCCCTCTTCCGCCTCCCTCCCACCCCTGGTAACCACTAATTATCTTTGGTTTCTATACACTTGCTTATTTCATGTAAGTGAGCTCATGCTATATTTGTCCTTTGGCAACTGACTTATTTCGCTCAGCATGATATTTTTAAGGTTCATCCATATTGGGGCATGTATCAGGACTTGGTTTCTCTTTATGGCTGAGTAGTAGTCCATTATATGTATATGTCACATTTTGTTTATCCACTCATTTGTTGGTGAACATTTTGGTTGTTTCCACCTTCATCCTTTTTTAAAAATGTTTTTCTAATTTTTTTAATTAAAAAATTTTTTTTTACTGTAGTAAAATATGTAGGGAACCCTGGGTGGCGCAAGTGGGTAAACACTCAGCTACTAGCCAAAAAGTTGGCAGTTTGAACTCTCCCAGAGGCACCTGGAGAGGCAGGCCTGGCAGTTTGCTTCTGCAGGGTCACAGCCTTGAAAACCCTATGGGGCATTCTACTCTGCACACATGGGGTCTCCATGAGTTGGAATCGACTGAACAGCAATCAACAACAAAATATATATAACAAAACATTTGCCATTTTAACCGTTTTTAAGTGTACACTTCAGTGACATTAATTGCATTCACCATGTTATGCAGCCATCACCACTATCCATTTTTAAATGTTTTTCATCCCCTGGAACAGAAACTAATCCTTCGTCCTTTTTAACATCTGCGGAACACTTTGGTGTGTTACTGGACCAGCCTGGTTAACCAGTCCCCTCTGGATGGACATTTAGGGTGTTTTTAACCTTTTGGTGTCATACACCTATTGCAATTCACGTCTTTATTCAGAGGTCTTCATGCACATGTGTCAGTGTGTCCATTAGAAAAGTTCCTGGAGGTGGAATTATGGACCCTAAGGGTATGAGCATTTTGTATTTTGAGAAATTTTCCTCAGTTTTCTTGTTTGTTAGATATTTCACTGGTTTGTGATGTTCCAAAGTCTAGCAACTCCTGGCCACGCCCATCTTACTCCCCTCCCCGCCTTCTCTGACCCCTGCTCATCCATACTGACTAATCTGTCTTCTAGTTTAAAACTTTGTCATTTCAAAATTGTTACAGAAATTGGATGGTACATACAGTACGTGGCTTTTTGGTATTTGCTTTTTTTCCGCTCAGTGTAATTCCCTGGAAATTTATCCAACTTGTTGTGTGTCTCAAGAGTTCGTTCCTTATTATTGCTGAGCAGTATCCCACCGTCATCTCTTCACGTGATGGACATAGGGTCCTGTTGTCCATAGCATCACTATGAGTTGGAGCTGACTTAAGCACTTACCAACAACGATAGTATTCCGTGGCATAGATGTACCACAGTTTGTTTAACCTTTCACCTTTTAAGGACATCTGGGCTGATTCTAGTTTTTGGCTGTTACAAATAAAGCTACTAAGAACATTTGTGTATGAGGGTTTTGTGTGAATTTAAGTTTTTGTTTCTCTGGGATAAATGCCTAGGAGTGCAATTGCTGGTTGTATGATACCCAAACCCCTTGCTGTCGAGTCAATTCTGACTCATGGCGACCCTGTAGGACAGAGCAGAACTGTCCCATAGGGTTTCTAAGGCTGTAATCTTTACAGAAGCTGACTGCCACATCTTTCTTCCAAAGGCAACTAGTGGGTTTGAACCGCCGACCTTTTGGTTAGCAGCCAATCACTGCGCCACCTTGGCTCCTTGGTTGTATGATAGTTGCGTGTTTAGTTTTGTAAGAAACTGCCAAACAATTTTCCAAAGAAACTGTCCCATTTTACATTCCCACCAGCAATATATGAGTGATCCAGTTTCTCCACATCCTAGCCAGCATTTGATATGTCATATTTTTTATTTTAGCCACTCGGATAGGTGTGTAGTGGTATCTCATTGTGGTTTTAATTTGCATTTCTTGGGTGGCTAATGATACCGAACATCTTTTCATGTGCTTATCTGCCATCTGCATATCCTCTTTGGTGAAATGTCTATTCATGTCTTTTGCCCATTTTCTCTTTGAATTTTTTTTTACTGTTGAATTTTAAGAGTCCTTTATATATCCGAGATACTAGTCCTTTGTCAGATATGTGGTTTGAAGTTATTTTCTCTAGGTCTGTAGCTTGTCTTTTTATTCTCTTCACATGGGCTTTCACAGAGCCAAAGTTTTAAATGGGGATGAGATCCAGTTTATCAATTTTTCCTTTTTTTGGATTATACTTTTGCTGTCAAGTTACTTTTGGTTTTAAACCATGTAAATATATTAATTTTTTTTTAATTTTGTCATTAATTTTTTAAAAAATTAATGAAAAAATATATATAAAAGACGTAAATAATAATATTATAAAAGCCTGCTACATACCACTTCAAATCTTCTCGAACACCAGCTTTGAAAAACACTGACCTGGTGCATCGTAGGTGCTCCAGTGCATTGCGGGGGAGGGGTTTCCCAGTAGGTGTGCCCTCTGGTAACCCCCTGTCATTCCCTCCCTGTAGATCAGCATGTACCTGATGTCACGCACCCTGTATGCCCTGTGCCGCCTGGGCGTGGAGAAGGGCTACATCCCCGAGCCCAGGTGGGACCCATTCCCGTTGGTCACCGCGACTATTTGGGGGCTGGTGCTGTGGCTTTTTGAGTACCACCAGTCCACGCTGCAGCCCTCACTGCAGTCCTCCATGACCTACCTGTATGAGGAGAGCAACGTGTGGCACGACATCTCAGACTTCCTCATCTACAACAAGAGGCGCTCCTCAAAGTGACATGGCCCCAGGTGCTTATGGGGGCTTCCACACCTGAGCAGGTGCAGGTGGTGTCCAGCTGAGGCTGGATGTTTGGCTGTATCTGTGAACCCTCCCAGAGGATCCTGTCTTCTCACAATCATGGATCTCAGTCTCCAGTTTTTATTTTCCCAGGGTGACATTTGCCAAAATAAAAGCACTGATTCTCAAATCCCATCTAGGTACTGTTGAGTGGTGGAACAAGTGCCCGCCTCAGGCTGAGGAGCCTGGGCTTGGTTCCAGCTGCGCTGCTGACTTCTGTGTGACCGGGGCAGTCACACCTCTCTGGGCCTCAGGGGTCTTCCAGCTCAGAGGAGGGCCCTGAGGGCTCTTTCTGGTGGGTATGTTCTCAGACTGTTCTTCTTATGTAACACAGGGCTGCTTGTTGGTGGGCAGTGGGTTACAGATGCTTTTTAAAAAATTATTAACTTCCTTCCTTCAGGTTTTGTTCTGTTGGAGAAGTTCTAGAGTCACTGTGTCCAGTAGAAACACAATGTGAGCCATCGATGCAGTTAAAATTTTTCTAGTAGCCACTTCAAAAAAAAGTGAAGAGAAGCAGATGAAATTAATTTTAATAATATATTTTTAATGCACTATTTACAAAATATTATCACTTCAACATGCAGTTAATATAAAAAATTAATGAGATATTTCACATCCTTTTTTTGTACTAAGTCTTCAAAATCAGGTGTTTTTTTTTACACTTACAGCACCTCTCAGTTTGAACTAGCCACATTTCAAGTGTTCAGTAGCCACATGTGGGCTAGTGGCCACCTTATTGGACAGCATAGATACAGAACATTTCTATCCTCATGGAAAGTTCTAGTGGGCAGTACAGATCTAGCCCTAGAGGACATGGGTTTGAGTCCCCACACCACCATAGTATAGCCCTGGGGAAGGTTCTTAATCTCTCAGAGCCTCAGTTTCCTGTAAAATGAGGATAATCATAATACCCAGTCTCCACATGGGACTTGACAACTACAACTGCTGCTGCTACTAATAATGACACCCATTTAGTGAGCTCCTACTGCCTGTTGGGTGCTTTGCCCATACTGTTTCTAATCCATACAATGATTTTGCAAGTATGCGTTTTGATTCAAATTTTACAGATGGGGAAACTGAGGATCAGTGAAGGGAAGGTAACGTGCCCATGGTCACATAACTAGTATGATAGTTAAGGCAGGATTTGAACCCAGATCTGATTTCAAAGCCTGTGAATTTTTTTTTTTTCAGTGGTTTAAGTTCAGAAACCTAAGCCATGCTATGCAAATGTTTGCTAGTTATAGGATCTGGCTAGGACGGGGGTGCAAACTTAACTGACTGCCGGAGCCCTGCAAGTGGCATAAATGAAAATGTTCTGGGTGCAGTACAGTAGGGGGTGGTGGGGTTGTGGTGAACTGGATCTGATTTTGTAAAGCTACCATGCTGGACAGACCAAATAGATCTGCAGGAAGATTTGGTCCATAGGCTCCCAATTTGAAACCCTTGGTCTGGTAGGAATGTGTCTATTAATGTACTTACTCATCAGTGTCTCTTTTTATATCTCAGAAGTTACTAGTAGAAATGTGCACATGAGTCACTGGGAATCTTATTAAAATTCAGATTCTGATTCAGTGGGTCTGGGGTGGGGCCTGAGAGACTACATTTCTAATAGGCTCCCGGGGACGATGATGCTGCTGGTCCATAGTACCACACTTTGAGTAACAAAGTAGTAGAGAATGACTTGGGGCCAGGTAGTATTATCCTATGTGACAAATGAGGAAACGGAATTACAGAGCTGTTAAGGTAATTGAGGTGGATTATGTCTGACTCTGAAACCACTGTTCTCTGCCATAACATTATATTGCAAGCTTGGAGTAGGTGATTTTGAAGGTCCCTTCATTTAGTCTTTGGAGGCTGAACAAGATCTTGAGGTTATGGGGGTTGGCCATCACCAATTAAGGTTTTATAGCAGATGCTGTGCGTGTCCCGCCCATATCCCCTCTAATTTACCACTTCAGAGGACACCAGCCAACTTTTCTAATGGCCACACCTGTATCTCTTTGCCTGAGGGCTCTCTCTTGCCATCCTGTGGCAGGCCCAAAGTGCTGGGACATTAGCATATCCTGGGAGTAGCCCTCAACCAATGACTGACCGGAGGGGGTGATAAATCTCCCCACGTCCTGCCCTTCACGCCTTGGGTGGGATAACTCAGAGGTGCAGTGTTCTACACCGGCCCCCAGCGCTCCCCAGTTGCACACGGTGGTAACTTGCTTGATAACACCCTTCCCTCTCTCACTTCCTCATGCCCCCACCAGTGCTTCCTGGGACTGCTTCCCAAATAAACCACTCGCATTCAAATCCTTGTCTTGGGGTCTGCTGTTGCGGGAGCCCCAACTAAAATAGCCTATGATACAGCAGGTTGGGAGACAGTCTAGCATGATGGCTGCGGACATAGGTTTGGAGCCAGACTGCCTAGGCTAAAGCCCTGGTCCTGCTGTTTTCTTGGTCAAGCGGCTTAACCATTCTGTGCCTCTGTTTCCACATCTGTAAAATAGGAGCTTTAATAGCACACAGTTCACAGGGTGGTCTTGAGCATTAAATGATATGATGCATATAAATGAGCACCCAATAAATGTTTGCTGTTATTTCAAATATAGCATCCAAAAATGTAGAAGGAGGTGTGGTCATGGGCCCTGACTATACCCTGCTTTTAGCCTGTCCCGCCATCAGCTGAAGGTAAAGCCTTGCCTGCCTGCCGTCCACATCCCCCTACTGCGCTGGGGGCTGGCCGGCTCCACTGCCACCGTCTCTGCTCTCTAAGAATAGGCTTCCCTCACAGATGGCATCTCTCTGAATCCTACCAGAGCATCTGGTGCCTCCAACTGCACACTCCAGGGAGGAAGGTGGTGTGGTCTCCGCTTCCAGCAGGCCTGGGAGGAGTCCCCATCGGCTTCTTCCGAGCTGAGCCTCCATTTCCTAATATCTATAAAATGAAGATCGTGTCAGGGCCCTTAGCACACGGTAGGCACTCATAAATATCAGTTCCTGAAACAAGACAGTGTATTAAGCACCGGCTACATTCCTGTTAAGACTTTTAAAAATAATTTCAAAAGCAATAATACATAACCATAGTACAAAACTCAAACAGAATAAAAAGTGTATAAACCCCAAACCCCAGCCCTAATCCCGCTCCCTTGCCAGGGGCACCCACTAATAGCACTGTCTGGTACGGCCTTCTGAGATAGTCTGCGCACAGCCACCTCATCTTTGTCTTATGAGAAACTTTTACATTGCAGTGTCTTCTCAACTCTTGGCATTCCCCCTTGTCCTTGGCATGTTTGGTTTCTCTTGGATCAATGAGCTGATATAAAGGCAGCCCTTTCTTTGCTTTGAGCAGGGGTTTCCCTCCTTACCCCTGTGCCCCCACAGGCAGGTCCTTCCTGTGATCAGCGTGAAGATGAACCACCCTAGATGCTCTGAGCATTATGGTAGATGACGCCCAACATGCAGGCCCGTGGAACTCCCAGTGAAAGGCAAAGGACAAAAACGATGTTAATTTGGGTCCTTTCTGCTGCTGTAAGAAGTCTTGGTGGTACAGTGGTTAAAGCACTTGGCTGCTAACCAGACAGTCCGAGGTTTGAGCCCACCAGCTGCTCCACGGGAGAAAGATGTGGCAGTCTGCTTCCGTAAAGCTTTACAGTTTAGGAAACCCTATGGGGCAGTTCTTCTTTGTCCTACAGGGTCGCTATGAGTCGGAATTGACTCCACAGCAGTGGGCTTGGGTTTTGGGTTCTGTTGCTCTGCTCCCAAATTAGAGCTTGTTAAGTGAACCCATGTGAGAGCGATGATTCACAGGCTGAGACGCCAAGAAACTGCCTCCTGTGAATGCTCTCAGCCCGGCCTTCTGCCTTGCAGGCTCCAGAAAGGCTCCTGGAGACAGCCTTCCTTTCCCACATTGTTCGTTTCTCCCACTCTCGTGAGTGCATTTGGGGTTTTAAGAATCAGGGTTTCAGCCCGACACCCTCCTAGACCAGAACATTGTGTTCTGCTCCACCTTCCCGTGTGAACCCTCTGTCACCACGAGCTGTGACTTCCCAGGGGTTGCTTGCTTTGACGAATTAGAGAGGATTTATAAAAAGCAATGTTATTTTTTGTCTCGGCTTGTCTTGTTCCAGATTCATAGGGAGAGAGTGTGTCTTACTTCAGCCTTGAAGAGCATTTGGGTGAGAGGGTTTTCGTTTTAACTAGAGGGTCTCCTGCGGCTTTCACTGTTCTGACCTGGAGGCCATACCGGCCAGGCGAGGAGGCAGAGGGAGAGCTGAGTGCTCTTCTGAGTATTGTTTGTAGAGAGGGCTTCCTAGGGGAGGCCTCCCTGTTTTCTGTACCACGTCTCTGTGCTCAAAGCTGCTATGGATGTCATGATTTAATAAACAAGACAGAAACCAGGCGGAATTGAAGTACAGGTCGTGGGGTCTCTCTCGGGAAACTTGTTCTCACTGCTCTTCTGGGCCTCTCTGGCCAGACCAGCTCTTGTAAGACACTCCTTTTCAGAGTGTCTTTGTTTACGTGTCTCATGGACCTTTTTGCATCTGGTAAAGTTATGGACTGTTCTCAGACTGCTGTTTTTAAAACCCATAATTTAAATTACATAAGATTACTAAAGAGACCAATTATATTAAATGTTATAAAAATATTTTTAAATTTGTGATTTAATAATACGTTCTTTTTTACTACATTCAATAACAAGATCTAGCAGTGGGTCCAATAACTACCATGATTTCAAAGGTATGATGAGCATAAACAATATTTTAAGATACCTACAGTAACTATAACATGATATGGAAATAACTGTGTTTTCTATTGGCGACAAAGTCCTAGGTGCTGTTAATATTCCTCTGATTTATTGCCTACATTCAAAATGGAAGGAAATGCTACATTTCAGTTAGAGGTTAGTGAAAATAAAGATGTAATTTTTTTTCCTGTCCAAGTTCATGGAACCCTTGAGTTATAGCCTGGGGTGGAGGGAGTCCATGGATCTCAGATTCAGAACCCCTGCTTGAGAGTGACCTTCCCAGCCTGACCACACAGTAGCTGTCATTGTTGCTCAATCTCTGAGCACTGGAATAATTAAAATAATAGCTCGTGTTGGCCGAATCCTTACTAAGGGCCAGGTGATGTTGGAGGCTGGGATTCAGCAATAAATGAAGCCAGCAATGAATGCAGAGAGGGAAGACTGACAAATGAATACACAAAAAAGATAATGTCACCGTGTGGCAGGCACTAGGAAGTAGATAATACAGGGCAGTGTAATAGGGTGATTTGATATGGAGGAACCAACCAAAACCAAACCAGT